AGAGAGAGAGAGAGAGAGAAGAGAGAGAATTTTTTAATGTTTACTTTCTAGTTTTCGGTGGACACAACATCTTTGTTGGTATGTGGTGCTGAGGATAGAACCCAGGTCGCACGCATGCCAGGCGAGTGCGCTACCGATTGAGCCACATCCCTAGCCCATGACTTCCCTTTTTTCTCTCCAAAGATATAATTAATAATGGAGGAAAAAACCCCATTGGATGAGGCTTTGCTACACACACACACATATATATATATATATATATATATATTTTTTTTTTCTTTTTCCCCATCCAATGGATATCTGAGTAGTTGGGGGAAGTGAGGAGGTAAAGCTAGGGTTATGGAGGGCCTTGGATCAGGAGACCATCAATGGAGAGGCTGGGCTGGGTCTGGGGCCATGGGCTGGCCCATCTGATTACCCTGTCATCTTGCACTGCTAGAAGTTGGAAGCAAAGAAATCCCCACAAGCTCACTCTTAGGGGCTGGGGCTGGAGGATTCTCATGTATACTTCACCAAACCGTATATATACACAGGGTCTGCTTGCAAAAGCCCATGGACCCTGGGAAACAGCACTGGCAAGAAACAGAATCCCCTTGAGAGACTTGGTCTCATTGCTGTCTGTTGGATTTGATGCTTGTCTTTCAAAGTTCTCTGGGCTTTTGTCACCCCTGTCTGAGCAAAGGACCTAACATCTCTCGATATCTGGGGATTAGTCTTATTAAAATAAGGAGTTATATTTGTTGATAACATTAGTCACCTTTGGGTGAATGTCCACTCTGCGCCAGACCCTGTATGTGCACCTGTGTGTCTGAACTTCACCTAAACACAGCAAGGTAAGGAGACATCATGCCCTTTCTGAGATGAAGAAAGTGAAGTTCAGAGAGGCAGGACCCACTCAGGGTCGCTATTAAGTAAGCAGTGGAGTTTGGATTTGAACCTGATTTTCTCACACTATAGACTGACAGATCCCACTTCCCCTCCTTCCCCAACTGAGCATTTTCCCAAGGGAGGTCCACTGCCCTTCACATCTGCATCTCCTGGGGCATTTATTAAAAAGCTGATTCTTGGGGTGGAGGTGGAGCCCATCATTTTTTTTCTTCTGGCTTCATTGTCCTGACATCTTGGATGCACATGCCCTGACCAGCTACACATCTGCTAATGACATGACCCTGTCAGTACTCTGGGTTCAATGTCACGTCCCTGTGCTCCTCCTTATATCCACTGACTCCATCACCTTAGCTTCTCCGCATGTCTTCTATTGCTACTTTGCTTCTTTTTCCATTTAAAGCATGATTTTCAACTTTGGCACTATTGGCAGAGTGGGCCAGGTAATCTTTATTTTGTGTGTTGGGGTTGGGGAGCCTGTATTATGCTTTGAAGGATGTTTAGCAGGACCCCCCCACACACTTTCTGCCACGCTGGTGTCACTCTGTATTCTAAGGTATATC